GGGGGGCTGCTGAATAGAAAGAGGCATTTTTCTTTAGCGGTGTGAAATGAGCAATAAATGTATTAGGAAGCTGACAAGGGGGCTGCGGGGCCCACAAAGAAAAGCAGTGCGGAGTTGGAGGCTAATCCCCCCTCCATCTGCCCTCCTCATTACCATTTAACGCACTATCAGTTGCCAATCAGCCTCAATACCTCCCTTTCTAGTCTTTATTACGGAGGCGCCCGCGAGAGCCCTGTCTAGTGATGGGGGCTGTCAGCTCCCCCCCCACGCTCCCCCCCTAAACCCCCTATTTTCCAGGGGTTTATAAACTCAGTTGTAAATTGCTATTAAATGTAACTCGCGGCAATAATGAACCTTAAGCTGCTTCTCGGCGCGGGCCCCCCCCTCTCCTCGCCCTCCCCTCGCCCCGGCTCTTTCTATTCGCATCCTCCGCCGGGGTATTGGCCGGGGTCCGCTCGGCAGAGAGCCGACGTTGTCGGGGCCGTTGTTGGCGAAAGCTGCTTAGCCTTTAAAATAGTTAATAATTAGATTAAAACTTCAAATAAATTAACTAGGGGCTGAATGGGCTGCTGGGAGGGAGGCTGCTCCTTGCAGGGGGATCATTATAATGGAGCAGGGATGCTGGCGGCGGGGGGGGCGGTGGGGAGGGGGTCCCCCTCCGAGCGGGGTCTCCCCCCCAGCCTGGGTTGGACTCGTTCCTGCTGCCAGGATGGATGGTGGCCCAGGGATGCCCATGGCTGGCAGAGGTGGGAGACGCTGCCCCATGTCCCCTCGCTGGGTGACGGCTCCGGCACCGGGCCCTGCGTCCCCAGGGATGGAATGGGGTCTCCCCGTTTTCTTCGTGCGACACCGATAGCACCGCTGGCCCAATCCTGCCGGAGCGTCTTCCCGCTGGCCAGGGCCACCTGCGTGCCACCCTGCAGGAGAGGGACCCTGTGCCCGCTGCACCTCACTGCCTGGGGCTCGGACCCCTCTCCACTCTCAGGGGGGTCCCAGCAAGCCCCCCCGAGACATACCCAGACCCTCCGCACACCTCAGAGAGCCCCAACGTGCTGCAAGCACCATCCCCAGCCCCAATGCCACGAGTCGGGGCTCACCCCACCTGCCCCCACCCCAGGGATGCTCCCAGTGGTCCCTGCTCCCAGTTGGGGAGCGGGCTTTGGCTTTGGGGGGGCAGAGGCGTGAGGCTGCGAGGAGGTGCTTACCCCGCTCAAACTCGATCTCCAGCACGTCCGGGGTGTCGGGAGAAGTGGCCGGATCGCGGGTCTTCGTGTAGAGCCCAGGAGGGGCCTGATTCTGCCAGGGGAGGTGGAAGAAGAGAAGAGGGAGAGTCAGTGGCGTTGGCATGGCCAACACTGCCGGCAGCCCTGACCCTGGCGCGCATCCCCCATCCCTGACGTGCGTCCCCCATCCCCAAACGTAGGGCCAGCGTGGCACAGCACCGGTGCTTACCGGGGCCCCGGGAACAAAGGGGTTGGAGGAATCAGGCAATTTTTCCCCTCAACTTGATCTCATCTTTTCCTCCGACGCCCCCACAGCTGGAGGCGGGATGGCTGCGGAGAAGCAAGTCAGGCAGGGAAAAGCGGGACGATGGCAGCAAGCGGCAGGGCGGGCGCCCGCACGTCCCTGCGCCGTGGCCGGGCTTATTCGGCACTGACCGAAAAAACTAATGAGGAGGCCTGACCCCAGCAGGTGCTCCAGGCGCACCGGCTCTTTCATGGTGTCCCTGGGGTTAATACACATGGGGGAAAATAGAGGAACAAAGCAAAAACCCATTTCAGAGCACATCAACCTTTATGTATATTTTTTTTCCTAGATTTATAGGAAAGAGGCATCTTATCTCCATCAGAGCCGGGCCACCAGAGGCTCAGGCGCCGACGACGAATTGCCGCAATTGAAGCGCGTGCCAGAAGAGTGTGGTGGGGGGGACTATAATAAAAAAAAAAAGCTTTCCATCCCGGAGGCAAATGCTTTGCAATTTCGCGTGCCCCCCTCGGCACTCGCGCATGACGTGACTGCACACGCTGACCCCAAAACACTTTCCGAGCAGTGTTTCCAAAGTCCTGTCTCTAAAGGGATCCCCCACCCAGCCGCAGCTCCGGGAGGTGGAGGGGAGGGAAACTGAGGCACGGAGCACCCAGGACATGTGCAATGTGGTGGAAAGGCGGACAGAGCCGAGGAAATGAACCGCAGAGCCGAGCTGGGTCAAAGCCGTCCTTGGCCGACATCGGAGGGAACATTGCAAAGGATCCTCCAGCTGAGGAGTCCAAGCGACCTAAAACCTCCTGTGCAAGCAGCTCAGATGGAGTTTCTCCAAACTGAGCAGTTCCTGCAAATGTTTTAAGGGATGGTAAACTGGTATTTCCCCACAAAACCCAGCTGGTGAGAGCTGGAGCTCCGGGCACCCCTGAGCAGCGGGGTCCTGCCTGCACCCAGCGCGCTGCCTGCACCCACCCACAGCCTGCCCCACGCTCCCCCTGTTTCTCCTCTCCTTTTTAAAGCACAGCTCTTCTCCTGCTCACTTTTCCTCCCTTATCCTCCTTCCCAGCAAGGAAAAAAAAGGACAAAGTAGAAAGCAAGCTAGGAAAAAAAAAAAAAGGCAAAAGTGACTGCTTGGAAAAAAATTATAAGCTTTTTTAAGGGAAAATTAATTTCTCTTCAGAAGAAGTTTTCATCTAAAATTTGTAAAGATGGGCAATAAGCCTTTTAGTGAAAACTTCCTTTTCTTTTTTTTTTTTTTTTGGTCCAATAAAGAGCAAAGCCAAATCACTGCCAGCACCCACAGGCAGGCCGCCCAGCTACGAGCACCCCTGCCGCCCCCTCCACACCGGGGGGACCCCCCTCGCCTCACCCCAAATCCCGGGACACACATCCCAGCAGCAACCGCAACCGAATCCCAGGAATACAGACATAACTACCCCAGCACACGCTCCAGCAAAACCACCCTCAGGTTCCCATTTTATCTCATTTTTGCCCCTTTCCCTTGTTTTAAACAAGAGGCGCTCGCAGGCGCGCCTCCCCCGTGCCCCCCGCGCGCGCACACGCACAAATTACACGGGCTGCGGATTTCAATTTTACATCGTCTGGCCTTTCCTAGCCCTGATCACACTTATTAACTAGCGAACCCGTGAGAGATGATGAAAAACTTTGAGTTCAAAAGGAAAGATGGGGGGGGCGGGAGGGGAAAAAATACCAGAAAGTATTAAAAACTCTTTACTAAACATTGGAAGTCAAAGTCAGGTAGTTTCCAATTTTCCGAGCCAACTATGAAAACCCCTATTAAATAAAATAACTAAATAGAAATAAAAGTGACATTTGGCTTGCATTCCATCATTACGGTGCGAGTCTGTCCTCTTTTTATTCTCTCTCCTAAAAGCACAGTTCAAATGACAAATAGTTTGTTGCAGTGTATCAATGCCTTCTATTTATCCCTCCCCGCAGGGGGGCTAGTCCTGCAATGTCATCTTTAAAGGGGAGAGAGGAAAAAAAAAAGGGAAAAGAAAGAAAAAAAGGGGAAAAAAAAAAAGGAAGAGTGTGTGGAAAGGGAGAGAGGGAGGGGGGAAGAAAGAAGCAAGAAAAACGGGGCAAGAAGAGAAGAAATTGGAAGCAAATGGTCCATGAAGTAAACCATGATGCAGAGCTATCGATGCCGCAAATGGTTTATTCATCCGGCTGATATTGTTGTGCCCGGGACTGAATGAACTCTTTCAGAGTGCCATATGAAGTTAAAGCAAGTAAATTTCTATCTTTCTCCGCATTAGCTGCCTCATTGCCCTTCAATCGGGCCTCACAGAGGCAGAAAATAGCTCAACCATCTGCTTTCAAATCCCTGCGTTTGGCAGGTCCCGGGGGTTTGGGGAGGGGAGCCCGCCGTGCCTGGCACCCCGGATCCTGCCGCGGCCGCCCCGGTGCCCGGCACCGCTTCCCAGGCCGGGGAAGGGGACGGTGGTGACACCGCGCTCCGGGCAGCCACCTCCCGGTACTGGCGGTGGAAGAGGTGCCCGAGCGGAGGATGCTCAGGGATGGGGTCAGGGCACTGGTCGGCCCCCTTTTCTGAGCTGGCTTTGGGAAGAAAGCCGGCTTGGCAGAGCCTGGGGACCAGGGGTCTTCCCCAAGAGGAGAGGGGCTGGGTGCGGAGGGGTGGGTCAGGATGGGTGCACTGGGAAGGGCGCGGGTCAGTCCCTTGCTAGCTCCAGCTAGAGGCACGAAAACCCATCCCTGGGCCAACCGCTCTCCTGGAGGAGGAGACCCCCTCTGAGGGCCCGGCTTTGCAAAGCCTGACCTGCAGACACCCCTCCGGAGGGCACCAAAAAGGGGAGCGGGACCCCCTCTCCACCTTCCTCTTCCTCACGCCCCCGCCGGAGGCACGCGCCAGCCCAGCCGCGGTGAGCCGGCTGCGGGCGCTGAGCTCCAGCCGGCTCCTCTCCCTCTCCTCCTGCCTCCCCCTCCTCTCCCCGGATTGTCTAATTAGCGCTGATGGATAGTTTAAGTAGCCGCCGAGCGTGGTGACCCGCTGGAGCATGAACAGTGCAGGCAGGGGCCAGCAGGCAGCCGGACCACGAGCACTATTCGGAGGCAACCAGGGCCAGACCCACGCATCCCGGAGCGACGTGCCACGCTCGCCGGCAGCACCCGGCCGCAGCACCCACCGCCACCGGGATCTCGGCCCCGTCGGCAGCCAGAGCTGCCCAGGGAACCGGGGGTCCCTTGGGGTCTCCAAGCACCACCCCACGCACGCGGAGGTTTTACCCTGCTTCCCCCTGGATAGCGGGGATGGCAAAGCGAGGAGGGCTGGGTGAGCTGCAGGCACAGGCAGGGGACCCGAGCTGCAGGGGCCAGCCCGGACCTCCGTCACCCACCACCAGCGCCTCATCTGTCTAATTGCTCCTTTATTGCTGCCCCGTGACATTGTCCCCTCCAGTGTCACCCTGAAATGGTCCCTTCCCCTATTTACACCGGCAGCAATTAACGTGCCAGGAGAGGTGGAGGGGCCGGGGCGGGCGGCAAGGCCTCCCCACCGCACACGGCCTGCCGTGAAATTTCCAATTAGGCTGCAAACACACGAGACGCCCTCGGCCCTGTGGCTGCCATGCCGGCCGGGTGGCCGTGATCGATTACCTTGGGGTTCTCCAGGATCCCGGCTTCGTAGCTGCAGCAGGCAGGGAAGGAGAGAGAAGTCACTGCAGCACCTGCAACCTGCAACCCCCAAACCCACCGGGAAGACCCCCCCCCACTCCAACCACCCCATGAGGATGGGCGTAAATACGTGTTATGGATCTCCAGGGCCTTTTAGAAGCAACCCTGCAAGGAGCGCCAGGCTTGGGAGAGCCCAGGAGATGGATGCTGCCACATGGGACGTGGACAACTGGGCAGAAAGGAAGGCTGGAGGTTTTGGGGTCACCCTTGGCCAGCAAGTGGTAGAGCAGCCTGGGACTCTGGACATGCATAGGGCTGTCCTGGCCATGGAGGACAGGAGGATGGGGGCCCCATGCTCTGCTTCCTCACCCCACAGGAGTTCCCCACCCGCCTGCCCTCTCACCTGATGTGCATGAGGTTTTCATCCATGCTCCAGGGCGTCTGGGGCGTCACGGGCACCGGGATCCCGTGTTTCTGTCAAGAGAAGGGGATCAGGGGTGAGCCAGCCTGCGGGAAGATCCAGCTCCCACCAGCGCCGGCTCCTGCTGGGATCAGCCCAAAAGCTCAAAGGCACAACCCGTGGCCACCAGCAAGGCAGCACGGAGCAAGGTGGACATCCGTGTCCCTCACCGTGGGTAACATCAGCTCCCACCACGAGGGCCACCTCGATGGGGACATCAGGGACACAACGCAACTGGGAGGAGAACGGCCGCCCCAGCCCTGCCACAAGCTGACACAGAGCCCCCAGAGCACCCCACGAACCCAAGACATGGAGACGTCAGCACGGACATTGTGTGCTTTTTCTAGCTCCATGACAGTGCATTCCCCCAGCTTAGGTCCTCATCAAGGGAAGGTGACATGGGGACAGGAGTCCCCAAAACCACAGGATGCTCCTCACCCTAACCAGGACTGATGCTCTGCTGCGAGGGGACAGCACACGCGTCCCCACAGCCTCGTGCAATGCAGACACACGGCACATGGGTGGGAGACGTTCTCCCAAGCCCAGGCACCCCAAGAGCACCGTGCCCGGGGACGCATGGCCCCGCACCGGCTGCCTCCCCAGCGCAGCACACAGCGCCAGGCCCAGCTCCCTAACAAGGTCACCGGCGCGCTCCATTATCCGCTGACATTTCAATGGGGGAAATTGCCTGTGAAGACGAGGTGAATACGCAGGGGAATTAGCAGGAGAGGCGACGGCGGCGAGCTAACAACCGGAGCTGGCAGGGACGTCGCCCACCCTGCCGGCATGCCGAGCCGCAATGTCCCGGCTGCGGGATGGAGGCGGTGGTGGCAGCTCCGGTTCCCACTGTGCCTCGGTGTGTCTGTACAGCCCGTACATTGCCGGGCAGTTCTGGCATTTCAGAGTCACCACGGCAGGGACGTCAGCCAAGAGCTCGGCCAGGAACAGAGGAGTGGGGGCTGAGCAGAAGCTCCTTGTTTTCTGGGAAGAGGGGAAGGAAACGCTTGTGGTTGTTAAATCATGGTCATCAACCCATCACCTGAGATGGGAACAAGGTTCCGAGATACCTCCTAAGGCTGCAGAGGGACTAAATCAGCCCCGCTCCTGGGGCGACATTGGCCTAGGCTCATGGGTCCTGGTTTGCTGGTCCCACACCGTACTCCCAGTGTGGGACTCTCCGGGATCCCCGTCCCAGGCTTTGGAGGTGGGTGCTGGACAGCCTTCACCTGCTCTCCTGCCTGCAGACCTTGCCCACCGGGGAGAGCAGGCAGCCCACATCAACGCTTCACGTGGGCTTCAAAACACAAGCTTGGGCTTGCTGGCAGGGCAAAACGCTGCCTGCTGGGTGCAAGTGCCAGGGTTCGCCTGGCTTCTCCAGGAAAGAGGGAGAAGGTGCCTCTCCCTGTCCCAACCCTCGGATGGTGTCCGAGCCACAGGTGCCTCCCAACCCCCCAAGGCTCCCCCAAATAATGCTAAGGGAGACCGAGGGCTGGGGGACAGACCTCAACCCCGCCTGGGGTCAGACCATGCTCCCATCGTCCTCATCCCAGCACCCTCGTGGATGTTGGCAGAGGACATTTCACCTTAGTTAATTAAAGCCAAGCCATTAATGCTGAGGGCTGTTTACCCTGAGGGGCCACACTCAGCCATGCGGGGCTGGAGGACGCCGTCCCCTCTGATAGTCTCTCCCCGTGCCATCGCTCACAGCCATCTCACCTGGGATGTATAAACGCATCTTTCAGACCCAAATATCTACTGATCGTGAACCACAGGCCCCCGTTGATTCACATTCCCAGGCAGCCCCCTGCCCTCTGCCTCTTCTTGGCAGCTGAGGAAGCCCATGCTCCCAAGCCCAGCCTTGCCCCACGGCAATTTGCCATGTTATCACTTCAGAGGGGATCCTCCAAATCCGGACCCATGTACCAACGTCCACTGAACCCAGGCAGCACAGCCCCAACGAGCTCCGTTCCACCCAGTTCTGCCCGCAGCAATGGCTCATCCCAGACCAGCATCCAGGAGAGCTTCACCTTTCTCAGTGAGGTGTTTTGAGCCTTGGCTGTTTGTGGGGATGAAGTGGCCACCAAAGCAGCTTGCTGCCGGAGCAAGGTTGGCTCTAGCTCCCAGGCAGCAAATTGACAGCAAGAGCTGTGCCGCGGTGGCATGGATCCCCGCTTTCCCTGACAGCAACCGATCCCCAAACATCATCGCATCAAAACCCGCCGAGCGCCGAGGTGAGCACATCCAGGTGCTGAAAGGACCTGGCCACACATCTCCCTCTCCCAAGTGCGAAAAAGAAGGGACCTTCCCCACCTTTTTTTTTTTAATGCTGGACATAACCAGAGACCGAGAGGCACAACAAACCCTCAACCCCAACCTTTTCTCTTTGAACGGGGCCCCAATCCATTTCACTTCCCTTTTTCCCCCCTTTCCAAACAAAAAAACCCAGCCCCAAACAAAACCCCCAAACCCAAAACACATGTTCCATTTTCCATATAATAAAACCGCGGCGCTCTTAATAACTCCCCTATTTGACAATTTGTTTGGCAACATATGGAAAGCTCTCGTAAACTCGCCCCTTCATAATACAACGGCAGATGGCAAACACAATCCTCAACACGCTGCTCTTGGCGGCCCTAATGGGCTCGGAGGGCTCCTCGCCCCACGCCACATCCCTCCGGCTCCTCACCTCGCCTTCCCAGAGATTACCCAGGCAGCCTCGACGGCAGCTATTTAAAAACTGAAGCAATTTTCTGGTTTATGCACAGAGCTGCCTTTTCCCTTTTGATTGATTGAGCCAAGTTGTCAAGCATTTCCATGAAGTCGCTAAAAAAGAAAGGTACCCTGGTGGGCACGTAAAAACCTGATGCAAAACTTCTAATATGTTTTATTGCAACTTGTACTTCAAAAAGGAAGGGACAACAAAGGCGAACGTATTTGCTTTGTCTGTTACGCAAGTCAGGGAGCTGGGACCCGTTTCCTTGGAAAGCGGGTTACCATTAATAGCCACGTAATTATGGGGCTTTTAGAAAGGAAGGAGAAAAAAAAAATAGAGGGGGAAATAAAACCCCAACCAGAAGGCTCCAGCATGGTGCTGCAGGGATGTTGTGCAGGGCTTGCTGCTGTCACCCGCCATGCCGTGGGGAGCATCCCACGGCCACCCCGAGCATCCCACGGCCACCCCACGCCAGCTCCTACCTTGGCATAGTCCATCAGCTCGCAGCGCCCGGGGAAGCGCTGGTAAAACTCGGGCAGCCTCCACGGTGCGACGACCTGGTGGGAGGGCAGGAGCATGAGATGAGAAGCCCCCAGCCCCTTTGCAGCCCCTGGGCACCCTTTGACCCTCAGCACCCCCCTGGACTCCCCACAGGCGAGGGTTCCTGGCAGCCCTGGGGAGCTGGGACCCATGGGCTGCTGGTCCCCCAGCCGAAATTTAATCTCCCTGCGCAAGTGTGGAGTAACCCAAACCCCTGACCCTAACAAGGCACTGGATGCAAGGGGCAAACAGGCAGCATCGATTATCCAGCAGCTGCTTTAGTACTGTTTCCTCCGTGGCCTCGTGGTGTTTGGGGTAAAAATAGGTCAATTAAGGATCATTACAGCCCCCTCAAATGCCAAAACGTCGCTTTGTGCAGCTGGCAGCTTGTTAAAGCGAGGCACGGCCGCTCACATCGGTGTTAAAACAAAATTCCCTACCAGCTGGGGAGGGGGCCAGAAGCCCGGTGGTGGGGCCCCAAGGGACAATTTTGGGTGCCTTACCTTGATCTTAGGACACAGAGCGTAGCAGGTGAGCTCAAACCGAACCTGGTCATTGCCCTGAAACACAGATGGGAGATGCTGAGGGATCACCCCACACTGGGGCAGGCTGGGAAGTGGGTGCCCCCCACCCCAATCCCACTGATAGAGGAATGGGGCCTCGTGCCTGGACCAGCTCGCCCAGGGCCATACAGCATCCTCGGGAGAGGAATGTGGCTTGGCAGGGCTGCAGGAAGAAACTGCAAAATCAGTGAGAACTGTTAAAAAAAAAAAAAAAAAAAAGAAAAAGCAAGAAGCATTAAAAGTGCAGATGACAAAACAGCAGCTCCCGGCTGCACTACAGCCCCACAGCTTCATCCAGGGAGTTGGGAGGCTCAGGGGCTGCTGGACGCTGGGAGAGCACGTGTGCGGCGGTGCACACGTGTGCGGCGGTGCACATGCGTGTGACAGCACACGTGTACGGCCTCTGAGACGCTGCTCGGCTACAGCATCAGCTCCCCTTGCAATGCTGGAGACCTCAGGGACGGTGGGCAAGGACCCATCATTTCCCTGCTCCCGGCTGCTCTCCCTCTGCAGGGACAGGACCAAAATTCCCTCAGCAGAGAGCTAGAGGGGACGTGTCTCGGGATCTCAGATCCAGCCAACACAGGACAGCCACTTGCCCTATATCTGCTGGGAAAAGCATCCCAGCCCATGGCTCGGCAGACCCTGGGCTGAGCAGTGCGTTTGCAAATCCCTGCAAGAGCCACCAGCCAGGAGGAACGTCTGGCTGATGCTACCCAGGACTTCATAGACCAAGGTGCTCTGTGCAGGAGGGGGATCACACCTATTTTCCCAGTAATGCCACTGGGATGGGATTGCTGGCAATTTTCACTGGAAAAGCAAGACCTGAGGCTGAGGACTCATCTGTCTCTCCCAGCATGGAGGGTGGCAGGAGGGGGTAGTGGGTGCCAGGACCTGGGCTGGCTCTGTCCTGCAGGGTCACTCCTGGTCCCTCTCCATAGCTGCTTTGAACCTAAAACCACCTTTTCTGGTGCTCCCGATAGTTGGGTGTTCAAAACCCCGATGCAGCTCGTTCACCTGGCTCCAGGACCCCAGAGTCACCAAAGAGCTGTGCTCTCCCCTGGACTGACACTCCTAAAAACTGAACCAGCAGAAACCCAGATTTGGGTATTTTTCCCCCATAGGCATCAGAGGACACACGGAAGGAGAGGGCAAGGTGAGTGGGGGCAGGGAATACCATGGTGACCAGGAGGATGCAGCAGCTCATAATTAAATAGCTCTGAAGCTCCCTTTATCTTAATTGGCCCATGCTGACGAGGTCCTGCTAATGAGGCCAGGTAGTCAGGAAAGGGCGAGGAGCGAGCCTGGGAGTTATTAGCACTTCCAAGGGAATAGCGCTCACCAAAGCCTATTTTCCACCAGCACCAAGGGGCGTAAAGACCACCCCCCCACCTTGGCCCCAGCCTGGAGGATACATTTACGGCAGGGCTGGGAAATCCCTGAGGACTATTACACGCAGGCAAGTACATCCACCAAAGCACTCATTTCCCTTACAGGCCCAAAACAAGTCCATCTGCTCCGGCAGCGGGGACACCGCAGATGGCCCACATTTAAGACACCGTGGCCTCAGCCGGGGACGGGGTGCAGCCGGGTCGAGTTACCCGCAGTCGGTCCCTGCCTGCGCCCGCGGCTTAATGGCTTGGGGAGCAGGCAGAGCCTGGGGAGCCGCCGTGGCTGCCCCTGCGAGCGGGGACGGCTGGCGCTGGTGGTGCCCAGGAGCGGAGGGGATGTCGTCGCATTGGGGGTGCATCGCTCCAAGGCACCCTTGAGCAGGGGCTTTCAAGAGGGGGCTGCTGGCAGCGGGTGAGATGGACGGGCAAGGGGCGCGGGGAACCCGTCGCAGCAGGAGCAAGAGCTATTTCAGCCACGAAGTTCCCCCCAGCCGCCCCTCTGCCCCATCTCCCCGGTGTTGGCATGGCCCTTGGCTATCTCCTGGCTGCATCTAACATTCCCCCTTCCAGCAGGGTCCTCCACCATAGCTGGGGACACCCAAACCCAGCCCCTCTCACTGACACCCCTCCAGGTGGGCACCTCGCTTTTGCCCCTAGACCGAGACGGACACGGTCTGTACTTTGGGTCCCAGTGGGATGGGATGGAGGGGGCATCCGGCAGGTCCTGGGTGCACGCACAGCACCCAAAAAGCCCCCCCAGAAGCCTTTGGTGACAGTGCCACCCTGCCCCAGGTGTCCCCGCACCGGGCTGGGCAGTGTGCGGGCGGGGGCTGGAGGTGACAGGGGGGGACCCACGGTCACGTCTCGCAGGTCCCACGTCCCGTCGTCGTCCCCCCACGCTCCCCGTGGAGGATTGCCCCTCTCTGGGCAGGGGCTGGCCCCGAGCATCCTTTCCACGGTCTCTGGCTGCCTCTAGTGGCAAAGTGTCCTCCCTGCGGCCAGCGGCGACAGGGACAGCCGGGGATGGGGACAGGGATGGGGACAGCCGCAGCCTGACCAGGGTGCCCCAAAACTCAGCCCCAGCCGGCTCCTGACCCGGGCAGCCCCTGTCCGTAGCAGTTTTTAGAAAGCTGCTGCTGAAAGTGGGGGGGGGGGGGGGGGGGGCTGGCTGTGATCCGAGCCTTCCCGGCAGGGAGAGGGAACCGAAATTAGGCACAGAAATCCCAGAAGCGAGAAGGAAGTGTTGAAACACGGTTGGGCTTTGCACAGCCCCACAGAGCACCCAAAAACCACCCGGTGCACTCCTCCTGGCACCCAGAGCTTAGCCAACAGACTGACCGGGTTCCCCCCCACAAGCACCCCATGCCATCCCTGCCCCAGTGCCCCCGTTCTCCCTCACCTTGCCGGTGGCCCCGTGGGCGACATACTGGGCTCCTTCCCGCTGGGCGATCTCCACCAGCTTGCGGGCGATGCAGGGCCGTGCCAGTGCTGTGCCCAGCAGGTACCGGTCCTCGTAGAGAGCGTTGGCCTGCACGGCCGGCCAGATGAATTCCTCCACGAACTCCTTGCTGATGTCCTCAATGTAAACCTGCCAGGATGGAGGAAACCTTATCATGGGAGGGGGACTGGGGCGGGGGGGGAATCCCACTCCTGTGGGGTTTTGGGGACGGTGCAGTGAAGGGTACCTTCACCTCCCCTTTCCTAGATGCTGCTGAAAAGCTTTGATGCAAAATCTCTGGGAAAGAAATTCCTCACTGGCACTGTCCTGCTCTCCCCAGCCCCAGCCATGGTGTGTACGAGACCCCAAGGCTCAACCCCACGGCGGGGAGCACGGGGAGCTCAGAGTCCCATGGGTATGGGAAGGGAGGGACACCGTTACCTTCTTGGCCCCCAGTGCCAGCGCTTTCTTTCGTGCTGCCTCAAAATCTTCTTTCTGCCCGATGTTGGCCTGGAAGGGGGAAAAAAACCAGACTGAGTTTGAAAGGAGACCACAAAACCCAGTGCAAGCCCAGCCCAGCTTGGGGCATCGTGCACGGCATGGTAGAGCCTGTGCTGGCGAGGCTTGAGGCCACCCAGGACAGGCAGGAGGGGGGGTCCCCCCCAAGACAGCATACCTTAGGGCCATATCTCCCTCTGCAAAGCCCCGTGACTCTGCCCCGATGCACTGTCCTCATTAGGGGAGGATCATTTGCTGGCAGGGACAGGCTGTGCCACACAGGGCTGGCAGCTCAGCAGAGCAGCACCCGGGCTGGGCGATGGTTAACCAGCAAGAGCAGGGTCACCACCATGGCCAGACACACACCAGGACCCCCATCATCCACCCAGGTCCCCAGACCCGTGGTCCAGCGTCCCCTCCATCCCCAGCCCCTGGGGAAGGGTCCATGCGGCAGGGCTCGGCACGGAGCTCACCAGGTAGGCGACAACGTCGTAGCCCTGCTCCTTCAGCCACACCAGGATGCAGGAGGTGTCGAGGCCGCCGCTGTAGGCGAGGACCACCGTGCCCTTGGGCTGAGCCATGGTGCTGACAAAGCAAAGGAAAAGGAGTTCACGATGGCCCCAGCCCCTGCCCTTGCTCAGTGCAGGGATGCTGCAGCCATCAGCCGTGATACCCTCCCCCGTGTCCCTGAACTGGCCACGGGGCCGTCACGGTCCAAACGGGTGCTGGAGCATTCTAGGCAACACAAACATCATCCAGGGAATGAATAACCAGGAGGCAAGAAGCAAAGCTCACGGCAAACTAAACACTCAGGGCTGGTAGTGGTTGAGTCGGTAGAGGAGCATGTGGTGGAGCTGCCGGTACCGGGACAAGCTCTTCACTTAAAACACAGGCTCCCAATGCTGCTCTCATTCATGGGCAGCGAGAGATGCTGCCATCAGGTGCTGGGTGCTCCCGTGAGACCAGGGCCGTGGGCAGCACACGAAGCCGGGCTGTGCTTAGCCCAGGTCTGGCTGAGCCCCCTCTTCTGCTGGGAGCTCCAGGCTGGGAACAGCAAGCAGCAGGCGGCACAGGAGGGGACACGCCACCGCATCAGGAGGGATCAACTGGACCAAGAGCCCTTCCCAGGGCTGCAAGGAGCAAAGGGGAGGGCTGGGGGCTGGAGGAAAAGCCATGGCACCATGGCCACATCAGGGCTGCAGCTCCCAGCCAAGGAGGACACCCTGCCCGCCTGCCGGCCGGTGCACCCTGCAGCAGCCGAGGCATGGAGGAGGCTGGGGCAGCCATCAGAGCCACTTCGCTCTTACCTTTGCTCCACGCAGCTCTTGCTCTGGCAACCCTGGTGCAGCCTGCTCCACTTTCTGCAAGCGCCCTGCAATGCCGAGGGTCCGGGACTCAGACACAGGCACGCGGCTGTGGCGGAGATGCAGCCCGATGCTTTGCCCGGGCACGACCCGGCTCGTCGCGGCCCTACGCCAAGGACCGGTGCGGAGGAGCTGCGGCGGCAGACAGGCACAGCCACCCACCGGCTCTGCCCCAAGCGCCCGCCAGCACTGCTGGGTGTGCGATCACTGCAGGGCTGGGGTGCTCGGCAGCATCCCCCGGAGCCCAGCCCAACCCCTAGTCTAATTAATGCTTATTGGGCATTTGTCCTAATTATGCTGCCCCGTGTTTCCTGCCAGCATGAAACACCCATGTGGGGATTCGGTGCCTCTCACCCTTCGGTTAAGGTTATCGAGGTCTTCTGCCAGCGACAGGAGACGGTGAAGGACGCAGCATCCCGGAGCTCAGGGGCGGGGATGGGGGTCCCGCTGCGGGAAGGGTCTCGGGGCTGTCCCTGCAGTCCCCGAGCAGGGCTGTGAATCCCAGGGCCTCACGAAGAGGCGATGCCAGCTGACCCTTGGCCGGGGACGGCAGACAGCAGAGCCGGCCAAATCCTGTCCTGAGCAACTTTCATGCTGCTGCTGCCAAGTCAGCACAATCCCGCTCCTGTTTTTGCAGGGGGGGGAAGGTGCTGTGCCGAGCTCCTCCAGGCTGGTCCACCCAGCACCTTCCACAGCGGGATGCGGTTACACCGGGGTGTGCCTCGGCACCCTGGTCCTGCCAGCACCAGTGACCCATGGGGCATGGCTTGGGGCCCGCCCAGGTGCAGGATCTGGCCTGCTGCTGCTCGTTTCTCACTGAAGAGCAAAGGGGTCTGGCAGCCCAGTAACCACGATTCGGTTCCCTGAGCCTGCCTGCACCCGTCCGGCTGCCTGCGCAGGCGGTGCAGGCAGCACCCAGCGCCCAGGCTTGTGCAACCAGCATTTCCCTACCCTCAGGGCCCCACGGGTGTGCTGAGCTGGGCCCCTGCCCCGGGAGGCTCAGCCGTTCCCTCCCTTACCAGGGCATTTACAGGAAGGCAGTCGCAGTTCCCGAAAGGACCCAGCCCAAGCATGACGCTGCACCTGTGGCTCCTTGCTGGGCAAATCCCCTCCTTTACACCCAAAACCCATCCCCGCTGCGGCCGCCAGCATCGCTGTCGCAGCTCCCAGCCTGACTAAGCGCCTCTGAGACCGGGCACGCTCGCTTCACGAGTGACCCGGCAGCAGGTTAGAGGAAACGTCTCCAACTTTTGCCTGCTCAGACACATTACGCTGCCCACGCCATGCCCAAGGGACCTGGGGCACCACCTTGCCCTGAGGTTCCATCCTGCACCCCGGGAACGGTGCGGGGCCACCAGCATTTCCAGCTCAGGAAATGGGGCTCGTGCCAAGCCCGCCTGCCCAGGAAGGGAGAGCCCCAAAGTTTTGGCGTTTGGTGGTAATAAATCAGAGCAAATAAAGCTCAGCGAAGGGGAATGTGGCGAGACTTTCTCAGCCCTGATTATTATTCTGTAGCAATTTCCGTGAATTGGGGCAGGGTTTTTACCAGAGCAACTCTGCCTGCTCTGCTCAGCAGGAACATTGTGTTTTTGTTTTTAAAAACAAGGAAAAAAAAAGGGGGGGGGAGAATAAAAAGCTTGAAACTTTGGTAAGGAGAGGAACCACGGTCACCAGCCAGGCTGGAAGAACAACCTCTGCTCCGGCAAGTGTTGCCTACGGGCCAGGATGGGGCAGGCAGCACGGGCAGGTTCCCCAGGGGTTCCTGCAGCAGAAGCATGTGGGGATGCGCTTACTGGTGCTGGGGTTTGCCTCAGCACTGCTTCTCCATCCCGTGGGGGGTCCCATCCTGCCTCTCAGCATCCCCAGAGCAGAGCAGAGAGGGCACAGGGTGGTGTCGGCCGAGGTGCCAGCTCCCCTCCCTGGGGGTGCCCAAGGGGACGCCTCAGGGAGATGGGACTCAGTTAGAACCCCCACCCCAAAACCGAGCTAGAAAGGGCTTGACTACAGCCTGCACCTCCCAGCGCTGGGAAGGGACTGGGACCCCACTGCCCCGCTCCTGCAGGGACCAGCAAGCCCTTCTCCAGCACCCAGGGGTGAGGGAGACCCACGGGGGGGGTGGAAAGGGGACAGCCAGGGACAGAGGGGACAAGTCCCCCAAGGCAAAGGGCACCCTCCCCCCCCCCCCATGCCATGTCCACACTCACCCACTCCCTGGCTGCCCTCAGCGCTGCGGTCCGGTGCCTGGAGCATCCTCCTCCTCTTCCTCCTCCTCCCTTATAGCCAGGCGTGGGCAGGCGGAGCTGCCACAGGACTGTCCCCTCCGTGGGCACCATCCCCCGGGGAGGCCCTGCCCTCAGCCTGCCCGCAGGGCTCACGGGCAGAAAACGGGGGGGCTCAGCTCGCACCCCAAGCTGGGATGGAGAGTGTGCCCGGCCAGAACCGCTGCACGGCTGCGCTAGGTGCTGTCACCCACCCGTGTCCCCCCACTCCTGTCCTCCTTATCGGCCTCCACGGAGCACCGAGGGGTGGGAAAATGGGGGGGGGGGCAGAGGGGACACGGTGCCTGGCTGCTTTGTGATCACCCCACTTTGCTGCCCGGCCCAGCATTGACAGGGGAAGGTTGAATTTCTTTGAAACCCCAGGAGATGGCAAAGCTGGAAGTTGGGAGCTGCTGCCCCCCCCGGGGAGCCCGGGTGGGCAGGAGGGGATGGGGCAAAACCACCTTTTCCCTTCGCATGTGCCCAGGGGACACCAGAGCAGCCGCAGACCTGGCCTTGGGGGGGACGGGAAACCCCTAATCCAAAGGACAGAGACTTTCGGGGGTGTCTCAGTGCTCCTACATCTTTGCAGTAAAGAGCAAGCTCGGGTGATGGGCTCCAACCGCGGCACCCTCACCTGGGTGCGCAGCCATCACCAGACCCGACAGCCCAAACCTGGGGACGTGCGAGCTCAGGTCCTCGGGGCCAGCACCCCCAGCCCCTCCAGCCAGTGCTGTGGAATAGGACTGAAATGGCTTTTTGGGAACAGCCTCCACCAATACCATATGCAGAGAGGCCGCATCCTGTTCTTGCTGACCGAGGGACCTGACGCTGGGGCAGGATTGGACCTTCAGATGCCGGACATTGGCCCTCCGGAGTTGCCACATCCAGACAATCTCCCTTTTATGGTCCAAGGCCATGCAGAGAGGTGCCTAAAGCCCTGGGAAGTCAGGGCTGCTGCTGGGGGAGCCCCCTCCCACACACTGAAGGAAACTGCTTTCTTCAGGCACGGCTGATATTTAGCCACAAAACACCTTTATTTGGAACAAAACCATAAATAAATAAGTACGCACAGAAACCAAGTGGATTTAAAAAAAAAAAAAAATTGAACACAAGGCTATTTCGATTTAATATGTGATAAATGCCAGGGTGCCCTGCGCCCTCCCCAGCCTGGAGGATCACACCCTGCACCCCAGTGGGGCCCTCACTGGCTGCTGTCACCCTGCTCATCCCCCCCCCAACCTAACCCGGGGGCTAATTGCAGCCAAGGCCATCAAGAGCTGTGTTTGCTCCAGGGCTGCCGGTGCGAATTGCATGGTTGCAACAAAACCTGATTGCGAGAGGCTGGCGGGACATCTTGTGATGCCCAGGACCTTGCTGAGTCAGGGACTGGCCCCAGGTGAAGGCAATGCAGGCAGGGGCTGCTGGGGGGGAAAGGGGGGTCCAGGGGGGAGAGGAATGGTGCAAGCTCAGCTCTCCTTGAACCATGTTCCCCCACTGGTGTGGCGATGAGGGACAGGAGGAGATATGACCCCGCGTCCCCTCCTGTCCCTTGGCTCTGTCAGTAGGGGTAAGGCGAGATGGAGATGAGAAGGAGGAAGATGCTGGGAGCCCGCTGCCCACCCGGGACCAGCGCCTGCACCTTGAGGCGGTGGGTGCCGGGGTCCCGCAGCGGGCGCAGGGTGGAGATGATGCCACGGCCCTGCTCGGTGCGGAGGATGAAGGGGCTGCCAGGCTCCCGCTCCAGCAGCGTGAAGACGGGGCGGTGGCGGAGGGCAGCGCCCGGGGCGAGGTGTACCACGTCGCGGCCGGCAGCGATGCCGAGGGGCAGCGTGAGTAGCTGGTACCGCAGAGTGGGGGGACCAGCCGAGCCACAGTCTGGGGTGCAGCGACCGACACACACCCTGCACGAGAGCAGGCGGGGGATGCGGGATGCGACAGAGTGTCAGGAACGGCCGGGACACCTGGGTCCACGGTCCCATGAGGAGTGCGAGGTGGGCACCCCCAGCCCCGCAGAGTGACTCACCCGGGGCTGGAGCCTCTCCGGTACCCGGCCGGGCATGGCGCATCCACGCAGTGGGCGCCTCCACGGGTGTTGAAGCACATCTGGTTTGAGCCACACTGGATTGTGCCCTCCGTGCACTCATCCATGTCTGCCGGCAGAGAGGGGACAGGTCTGAGGGTGCCGGGGTGCCCATTCACCCCAGGCTGCGATGCCCACATCTTCCCAGCCCCTGCCTGGGGCCTCAAGATACTGGGGCAGCGAGACAAAAGCAGCCAGGCTTGGCAGTGTGCTGAGCCTGGGAACAACCCTCCTCCAGAACAAGAAAGACTTGTGGCCCCAAAGGGATGACATCCAGGGCACCGTGGGGACTGGGTTCACACCCCAAGGAACGCAAGCATCCCGCCAGGGTAGGGGCAACCCCCCGGCACCCCCACACTGACCGTGGCAGGTCTTCCCGTTGGGCAGAAGCCGGTAGCCAGGGGGGCAGATGCAGCGGTAGCTGCCCAGGCTGTTCCTGCATTTGTGCTGGCACTGGTTTGGCATCTGGCACTCGTCAAGGTCTGCAGGGTGAGAGGGGTGAAGGCAAGTTGGGAAGCATTGGTCCCCTCCGGTGCCTGCCGCCCTGGGGCAGCCTGGCTCTCGCCTCCCCTTCCCAGCACAGCCAAGCCCAGGGAGACCCCGACCCTGCAAACAGGGGTACAAACAAAATGGGGGGACAGGGCAGCAACGGGCACAGGAGCTGCCTTTTAGGCACAAAGCGGCCTCCAAACTCCCTGCAAAGCCCTTCCCCGATGGACACTCACCGGTGCAGGTGCCATTCCTCTTGACAAAGCCCGTGGGGCAGGGGGGGTCCCGGGCACCCAGCCCCGCAGCCTTCGCCACGCGGCGGAGGGCGAGCTGAGTGTAGAAGGATCGTCCCCGCAGGTGGGGACGCAGGGGGGGGTCCCGGGGTGTGCTGCTCATTGTGCCCCCTCCATCCGCCCCCGCTGTGCCACAGTCTCCGCCTGGCAGCAGGGTCCCGCCGGGGGGGCACAGACACTCATAGGAGCCCCGCAGGTTGCGACACCCAAAGGCACACGGTGGAGGAACCTGCAGGCACTCATTCACATCTGGTGGAGGAAAGAGATGGAGACTTGCAGCTGGATGGGGAAACTGAGGCTGGAGCAGGGCAGGGGAGCGACCGTGGCCTTGTGCCCAAGGATGTGTCCCCTGAGACCCCAGCTCGTACCCAAGCATGGCCAGCCAGCACCCAGTGAGTGGTAGCCAGGAGGGCAGGCACAGCGATAGGTCCCTGCAGCGTTCTGGCAGAGCTGGTTGTAGCGGCAGGCGTGGGACCCCTCGGCACATTCGTCGATATCTGGGGAGCAGAGAGGGGACGGGGTTGGGGGGACGGGGAGGCGGCACCACGCAGCAGGTGCCCCTCGCCATCCTCGTGCCCCCCTGGGGAAGAGTCCGTACCAACGCAGTACTGCTGCCCAGGGCCCAGCATGAATCCCAGTGGGCACTGGTCACCATCGGCCCCTGGGAATCAAGCAGAGATGATGAGAAGGGACACTTCACTGCAGGGATGTGACCTGTGCACCCTTAAAGCCACCCAGGACCGACAAGGGATCCTGGCGTCTCCATCCCCATCCCTTGGAATCCCCTTGTTACCCGCGTCAAGCGAGGCACGGAGCTGGAAGCTGAGCTCCTCCGAGGCCGGGTTGTAGGAGGCTTTGATGGCACTGGTCCGCACATGCTGCACCCACGGGGACTGCGGGCCCGTGGGGGGGTCGTACACGATGGTGTGATTGCAGCGGGCACGGATGATGTGCCCGTCCCGCAGGAAGCTCTGCACCGAGCTCCCCGAGAGCCGCCCCGCGCCCGTCTGCATGTAGCGCTCACTGAAGTCCTGGGGAGAGGCAGGGAGGGGGGGTCAGGCCACAGACACCCCCCCACCCAAGCTCCCAGCATGGGAGTCGTGGCCCCACGGGGAGAACGGGCAGAAGCGGCACCTGCAGCAGCACCGCGGCCTCGCCGATGCTCTCCGGCACGGAGCCACTGATCACGCTGTCCAGCAGCAGAGCACCAGTGGCATCCATGCCCTGGGCAAGGTGGGTGACCCGCAGGAGCTCCCCTGCCGGGGATGGGGGGCAAAATGGTGAGCAGAAGCCCATGGCACCCCCAAACGCAGCTTCATCTCTGGCTGTGAAGCTCAGGTGTATGGGGGAGATGGAAGCTGAGCCAGGCAGGACCAGGATCCGCAGCCCCCAACACACCCTGGCATCCCTCACCTGTGGCAAACTCCAGCTGCGACTCGTGCTGGAAGGTGCCCCGGGTGAGCAGGAACCCACTCCGGGCCCCCCCGCCGGCGTGCGCCAAGGACCAGTAAATGGGTGCAATGATGGTGACCAGTACCTGCATCAGCGGCCCTGGGGGTGAGGGAGAAAAGATGCCAGAATGCTCCTAAGGGGGCACCCAGCCCTCCCCAACCACCCTGGCCCCCATCGCCCATGGGGCACAACACAGATTTGGCGTGCAGAATTCGGGGAAAAATCTTTCCCCGCAGCTTTTCACCTGATAGAGGTCAAAATCCTCCCTGGGGCGAGGGTGACTACCTACCGACGGTGGGTGGGATGCTGCCGATGCTGCTCTGAACGGTGACGGTGCCGGAGTGCGGGTCATCCAGCACGCTGGCATCAAGGGAGGTGACACCAAGCTCGTGGGCGTTGATGACTCCACCGAGGCTGCCCCGCACCCGGCGCGGCTCCCCTGGGGCGAAAAGGACAGGGGCAGTGGCGCTGGGGCTGCTATCCCATAGGAAAGTGGTGTGCTTCCCTGTCTTCCCTCTCAATAATTTGTGTGTCGAGAAAAATCTCATTTTGTGGACATGAAGGCAGCCAGAACAAGGCAGGCAGCATCTCTACCTGGCTGCAAGCACGGCCCCCAAAGACGCCATGGATCCGGGCAGCACATTGACGGGGGATGCTGG